CCTCAGCCTCCCAAAGGCGCGGGATTACAGACTGAGCCACCGAGCCCAGCTCTTTTTTTTTTTTAAATTGGCGTCTCACTCTGTCGTCCAGGCTGAAGTGCAGTGGCATGCTCACGGCCACCGCAGGTTTGACCTGCTAGGTTCAGTTGATACTTCTACCTCAGCTTTCCTGTAGCTGGAACTACGGTGCGAGCCACCATGCCCGGCTAATTTTCTGATTTTTATTGTAGAGACAAGGTCTCACCATATTGTTCAGGCTGGTCTTGAACCCCTGGGCTCAGGCAATCCTCCCAACTCGGTCACCCAACGTGCTGGGATTATAGCCTTGAGCTACTGTGCCCAGTCAGAACTGAGAGTTCTAACAGCCTCCGTCAAGTGCCAGTGGCTTTTTACTTTTCACTCACTGGCTTTTTACTTCACAGCCCTGTTAGCCCTACAACCTAAAAATACTTTATACAGGTGCGCCTCACCTTACAACTTATATCCTGATATATTTCTTTCTTTTTTTTTTGAGTTGGAGTCTCACTCTGTCACTCAGACTGGAGTGCAGTGGCCACTCCTGGCCACCGCAGCCTCAAACTGCTGGGCTCCGGCGATCCTTCCGCCTCAGCCTTCCAAGGAGCTGGAACTATAGGCGCGCACTACCACACCCAGCTGATTTTTGATTTTTTTTTTTTTTTTTTTGAGTTGGAGTCTCACTCTGTCACCCAGACTGGAGTGCAGTGGCCGCTCCCAGCCACTGCAGCTTCAACCTGCTGGGCTCCTGCGATTCTTCCGCCTCAGCCTTCTGAGTAGCCAGAATTACAGGCATTCACTACCATGCCTGGCTGATTTTTTGATTTATTGTAGAGGGTCTCGAACCCACGGGCTCAGGCAATCCACTCATCTCAGCCTCTCAAAGCGCTGGGATTACAGGCTGAGCCACTGAGCCCGGCTTCCGATACATTTCATCAAAAGCTGAAAACACTGCTCAGTCGGGCTCAGTGGCTCAGCCTGGAATCCCGTGCCTTCGGTTTCTACTGATGCTTTTGCCCCATCACTGAGGACTTGACTGTACTTGCTTATTTTAAAAAGTGCTTTCAGCTGGGCTCGGTGGCTCAGTCTTGTAATCCCATGCTTTGGGAGGCTGAGGTGAGTGGATTACCTGAACACAGAGGTTCGAGACCCGCCTGGGCAACTTGGCGAGACCTCATCTCTATAATAAATCAAAAATCAAGCCGAGCTCGGTGGCTCAGCCTGTAATCCTGTGCCTTTGGGAGGCTGAGGTGAGTGGATTGCCTGAGCCCGCGGGTTCGAGACCCGCCTGGGCAGCGAGACCTCATCTGTACAATTAATCAAAAAATTAGCCGGGCGTGGTAGCACACGCCTGTAATTCCGGCTGCTTAGAAGGTTGAGGCGGAAGGATTGCCAGAGCCCAGCAGGTCGAGGCTACGGTGGCCGGGAGCGGCCACTGCACTCCAGTCTGGACGACAGAGTGAGACTCCAACTCAAAAACAAAAACAAAAAGCGCTTTCACAAAGAAAGTCTTATTTGGCAATTTTTGAAGGTGAACAGGGCAGACCTGCAACTCAATCTAGAAGATTAGAAAACTGAGTCTCAAGTTAAGTAATTTGCCCAAGGTCAAATGAGTGTCAAGTGGAAAACCTGTGCTTTCTGATGTTAAGTCCAGTGTTTATTCCTTTATATCTGGTTTTCTACACTGTTGAGAGGGGGACAGCAAACTTTTACTTTTCCTTGATAAAATAAAACCTTTCGAACATGATCTGATCCTCATTTAAGCTACAATTCTTGAGCCAAAAAGCAAATAATCATTAATTAATACTGAGTACTTAATTATGTGGCTTCTGTCACATAGCGACAGCATTATGATAAGCACTTTAAATGGACTGCCTCAGTTGTCACAACAACCCTATGAGAATAAAACACAACTTTATTTTTCCCATTTTACAGATGAAGAAATTTGAGCTCAAGATCTTTTTAAGCATTAAGGGATGTAATAGGGTGTGGACCCAGCTTGATTACAACTATATAGTTACATGTAACTAGTCATTATACATTACTTTCCTGTGAAAATATACGATAGTAAATATACAATGAGCAAATGTGTAAACTAGTAACACATTCAAATGCATACTATATGCCAGGCACTGTTCATGGGGCTCTATAACAACTCTAAGAAGTCAGATATCATCATAAAGAAACTAATAAAATAATGCAATTCAGTACTAATGGGGAGAAAGTCAAATTGGTTAAGTGTGAGGAATAAGAGTACAGAAGAGGAGAAAAGCAAGAACACTTCATGTGTCTCTGGAAATTCTAAGCATTAGAGAAGTGTGCCTACTGACAATCTAAATGTCTAATTAATTCTATTATACCTTGAGAACTTTGTGATCTCTGGGCTTCCTAATACTGTCTTGCAACGTACAGAACTTTTGGCCTCACTCTACTGCACTACCCCAACGCCCTAAGACTGGTTCTCACTGTAGACCAGCCTGAAACGCAGTGACATGATCATAGCTCACTGTGGCCTTGAACTCTTAGGCTCAAGTGATCCTCCTGCCTCGGCGTCCTAAAGTGCTGCGATTATAGGAGTGAGCCACGATGCCTGGTCTCTGCTGCCCTTTTTATGATTTGTGTTCTATAAGCTTTTAAAATCAATTTAACTTCTACATGTTTCATTTAAAACTACATAAGTCAAATTATTTTGAGTAAAAATGTACATAAAAAAACAAAAAAAGGCAGGATTTCCACAGGCTCTAGGAAAAAGGGACCATATATACCCATACACCTAGCACTGAATTGTCTAGGTAGGCACTTAGAGTTAAATGCTGTTTAGTGATAAGGTCTTCAGTTTCTGCCTCTTTAAGAAATCCCAACCTGATAGGCGTGGTGACTTACACCTGTAAGCCCAGCACTTTGGGAGGTGGAGGCAAGAGAATTGTCTGAGTCCAAGGGTTGAGACCAGCTTGGGCAACTCAATGAGACCTTGTCTCTATACAATAAATCAAAAAATTAGCCAGGCGTGGTGACACATGCCTGTAGTTCCAGCTACTTGGAAGGCTAAGGTGGAAGGATCACGTGAGTCCAGCAGGTTGAGGCTGTGGTGGCCATGAGTATGCCACTGCACTTCAGCCTGGGCAACAGAGTGAGACTCTGATGCAAAAAAAAATAAAATAAGTCGGGCTCAGTGGCTCAGTCTGTAATCCCAGTGCTTTGGTGAGGTGAGTGGATTGCCTGAGCCCGTGGGTTCAAGACCCGCACGGGCAACTTGGCAAGACCTCATCTCTACAATAAATTAAAAAAAATTAGCCGGGCGTGGTAGCACGCGCCTGTAGTTCCAGCTACTTGGAAGGCTGAGGCGGAAGGATCGCTGGAGCCCAGCAGAGTCGAGGAGCCCAGCAGGTCGAGGCTGCGGTGACCGGGAGCAGCCACTGCACTCGTCTGGGTGACAGAGCGAGACTCCAACTCAAAATAAATAAATAAATAAAGGAGCAGCCACTGCACTCCAGTCTGGGTGACAGAGTGAGACTCCAACTCAAAATAAATAAATAAAATAAAATAAATCCCAACCTGAGGATGGCTTGAGGTCAGGAGTTCAGGGCTGTAGGGCACTATCACTGAACCTGTGAATAGCCACTGCACCCCATCCTGGGCCACACAGCAATATATATATATATTTATTTAGCTAATTTTAAATAGCTCTTTGTTTTCTAAGGAGTCTGTGGAAGTGGAAAGTTCCAGATAGAGTAACTATAGCACCTAATGCATCTTTGATTCTATCAAGCTTTGGAGATGGACAAAACAGCTTACCTGGTTTCCAGGTTTGACCAAGCGGAGGGCAGCTTCAGCACAAAGGTGAGCTGCCTTAATGACGTCTGCTCTCCGCCCTGTTACCTGGGTCCCCTGTAGTAAGAACATGCAATCAGTGTCTTCCTGGAAAGCCTGCTAACTCAGCTGGCCATTTGGCCATTTCGCTAACTCTGCATGCCCATATGCGAGGGCCAGCCAGTAAACAGCAGTGTAAAAAACCTCTCCTTTTGCTTCTCTAGAGACTCTCCAACTTCTGTGGTGACAGTGCACTGCTCCCCACACCCAAGGCTGAACAGATCAAAAGCAGGCCACCTACCTGAGCCACACCGACCACGAATGTGTGAGCTACATTAGCGATGAAGCCATCCACGTGGACTCCAAGGTCACTGGAAAGCAAGATCAGAGTACTACATTAATCACAGGCACCACATAAAGGCTTAAAAAAAGACAATTGCCTTAAAATGGCTTAACCTTACATTTTTACCAAGTCACCTTCCTTGAGAATATAGTCCTGGTCGCTCTTCAAAGGGGAGAAGTGACATACACAGTTATTTACCGAAATGCTGGTGGGAAAAGCAATACCTGCAAGGAAAGAACCATCAGCCTTACTGCCTCGCTCTCTCTGGGAGGCCTGCTGCCCTTCAGAAAATGGAAGGATTTTTTTTCAGTGTCTGCCTTAAGGGTCATCAGTTTGGATTGGGTAGGAAACTGCTTGTGTCCCACTTGTCATTCCAAATTTCCAACTATCTCAACCAGGGATGGGGTGGGGGCTGTACCATTACAATAAAAACAAAAACATACAAGACCAAATAAGGTTCAAACTATAGAAATTAGCCAGGGATTTTTTTTTTTTTACCTTTCTTCATTTCCTTTTCTTTCTTGAAGATTTTCCCTGTCTCTTCCATAATCATGGCATCACCTTTCTCACATAGGCTCAGTACCGACACACCTGAGCTGGATGCTTCTACCAAGGACCGAAGTACTCCTGCAGACAGAATCCCATCATGTCAGCCTTCATGCATTCATTATCCAGTTACCACCCAATACTTGCAAGTTGGACTTAGAATCTCTAATACTCCATAGTGCTGCTGCCGGGAGTCTGAAAGAGGAAACAAGCTTCGCCTCTTGGAATGTGTCTATCTATAATCTCTAACTTCTACCTTCCTTTCCTAAAAATAAAAATGCTAACACTCCCTTCTTTCCCTTACATTATGTGACAACAGGGCATATACGTATGTCTCTCTAGGCAAGGCCTTGGACTTGCCAAAGATGTTACCTTTGGTGTATTAGAAACGTTATGAACAGCAGGGGGTTCTCGCCAAGGTATCCCACAAACATGCGAAGAAGACTAGAAGCAATTTATAGGCGTCAGAGACAACAGGAAAGTGGACATAGAACTGCTGACTCAAAGCCGATGCGTTGGTAAATGTTACCGTCTTCCCTTCTCAGACACCCTAATTAGATGTTAGTAATCTCAATTTATGTAGGTTGATTTCCTCATAAACAAGTGTATAGGCCAAGGGGACTTAATCTAAGGTTTCTGGGCTTCAGGGGACTTGTGGCTTCTGGTTTTCAGTACACCTCAAAGAGGCATGTAGCCCCAAAGTTTTTTGTTTTTTTTTTGAGTTGGAGTCTCACTCAGTCGCCCAGACTGGAGTGCAGTGGCCGCTCCCGGCCACCGCAGCCTCAACCTGCTGGGCTCTGGCGATCCTTCCGCTTCAGCCTTCCAAGTAGCTGGAACTACAGGCACGCGCCACCACGCCCAGCTCACTTTTGATTTATTGTAGAGATGTGGCCAAGTTGCCCAGGTGGGTCTCGAACCCACAGGCTCAGGCAATCCACTCACTTCAGCCTCCCAAAGGCACAGGATTACAGGCTGAGCCACCAAGCCCAGCTAGCCCCAAAGTTTTAAAATTGATATTTAAGATCACAAGTGTCTCAAGTTATAAATTGCAAGAAAGAGAAAACTTTTTTCTGATTCAAGCCACTAGTATGAAATATGAAATACTAAAAGGCACCAAAAAATGAGGGTACTATGCTAAATGTCCATGGGTTATAATGCACTGGTCTGTTCATGCCCTCTCCATGATCCAGCCTGAACTTCAGGTTTTATTTGTGAAACAATGAAACCTGTTCTGGTGTTTCTTTGGAAGCTGGAAAAACTTAAGTTTTCAGTCACAGCACCGCAGGCATTCTAAATACCTCCTCCCAACCATCTTTACTGTCAAAACCATTTAAAAGCCAGAAGACAAGCAGTTCCTAGCTCTGGAACTGGGTTTTAAAAGGGAAAAGAGAATTGGAAAGAGAGAAAACAGAAAGTGAGACATCTGCCTAGAGTGCCAGGCAGCTGCTAAGAACGTCACAGCACAGCGCGAATGAGAATGACTTGTGACAATCCTAAAATCAGTCCTCCCTTTTACAGTACAATTCACAAGCTTGTCTAGTTGAAGTAAGAGAGGACCCCCAATCACTCCTCGACTTGTCAAGTCACTGAGAACAACACATTTGAAGGGTAAGTAAGGCTATCTGCACAAACTGGAAGGGTGCTAGTCATGAAAAACTTCAAGGAAGTCCAGCTATATCTTCAAGACGGGTTAGAAACTCCAGGAGGGCCCTCCAACGGTCTCCTGAGCTGGACCAAGAGTGGGAGGGGACCCCCAGCAGGGTAAGGGGTGCAGTAAAGAAGGAAAGGCTCCAGTAAAGCACGTGGTGGGGAAGCTGGTGTCAGGGGCAGTGGCGGAGGAAGGAGGGAGCCAGCGATCCGCACGGGGACCCAGCAACACGTGCCGGCTCGACTCCTGACGCCCGGGAGACGCGACCAAACCGAGGGGCGCCTCCGTCGCCAACAGCTGGTCGCTTCCTTTTCGAGGTGGCCTCGCCGCTGCCAGAAATCAGGGGAAGCAAAAATGTGGACTGAAGGGTAGGGTCAGGAGAAAACGCGCCCTGCCTTCTAACCAACGGCCTAGGGTCGGGAGCCTGCCGGGGACCCTTCTCTGCGCTCCTCCCGATCGCCGGCGCGCACCTCCACAGCCCCCAGCCCAGGCCTGGCCGCCCGGGTCCCGGGCACGACACCGGGTCTGGCCACCACGCCGAATCACCCGCAGACCGGTGCGGGTCCCCTCGGTAGCTCACTCTGCGTGACCCCTCCGCTCCAGCCCCTCGGGGGCCAGTCTGGCACTTTTCCTCGTTAGCCTCGATCCCCAGACCCCCGAGGCCGCACTCACGGTTGGCTATGTCGCCCCCCATCTTATACTTGGTCACGACCAGGTCCTCGGCGATAGTTTGCTCCTGCTGCTCGTCCTCGCCCGACATTTTCCTACCACCACCGCTGCAGCCTCGTTTTCCCTGAGCCGCCGCCTCTGTCTCCCTTCCCGGCCGCGGGCTGTGGTCAGAGCCCCCTCGATCCTCGAGGACAGGGCGAGCGAAAGCGCGAGCAAGCAAGGGAGCGGGCAGGCAAGCGAGAGCGAGAAGCAGCGAGCGCGCGGGCTGAGGCGCACGGCACGCTGGGACAACGAGTCCTTTCCCCGGCCAGCCTCTAGCCACCCTCGTGGACCCGCGAACTACAAATCCCAGCGTGCCTCGCGCGCCCCTAAGCCAGGCCCTGGGGCCTTGCCCTCCAAGGGCCTCGCACGCCGGAATCGCCTGGCACGCCGGGAAGGGTCAGGCTCCGGCGGGAAGGCGGAGCCGTTGGGGAGCGTGAGGGGAAGCGTGGTCTCTCTCCCGGAAAAACCACTTCCAGCAGAGCGCGGAGCGAGAACCCGTAACGCGGGGGGTGCGGGCTGAGAGGGAAGGGGCGGAGCGACGGCGGGGAAATAGGTTGAGAGGCGGCGGGACAGGGTGGAGCCGAGGCGGGTGGGCAGGGTCTACACCTAGGGCGGGGAGGCCGGGTGCGCCTTTCCCCGGGTATCTGGATCGGCTGGCGGGACCGGCCCAGCCCGTCCAATCGTCCTCCGATGCTGGGGGAAGGGGTGGGGCAGGCGTGGAAGACCTGGGGTGCCCCGGAGGGATTGTTCGTTTATTTAAGGGCCTCCCAACGTAGAGGCCAGACTCCCTATGAAGTTAGATGGGATTATTGTACCAAGCATAATAGGTTTAGGCCTCTGCGGGAGGCCCAGGCGGGAACCCGCTTGAGGCCGGGAGCTTGAGACCAATCTGGGCAACACAGTAAGTCCCAGTTCTCGGCGAGAAAGTTTTTTTTCTAAAGGACTTGGATTGGCACCGGAAGGAAGTGTTCGGAAAGACAGATTTGTTGAGAGTTCCTAGCATTAGATAAAAGATGTAATGACTCTCTTAAGAGAATGAGTAGAGAAGCATCTGGAGTTTTCGTATTCTCCCTATAAAGGAGAAAAGAACATCTATAGGGCTTTTTCCAACTTCCCCAAGCCTGTGCGGGCGGGGGGGGGGGGGGGGGGT